GGGGCGGGGCCCTCGTGTCCACTGGAGGCCCGGTGGACCGGCCGCGGCCTGATCTGCGAGGCTGGGGGCGCCTTGCAGCTGCCTCAGTTTCCCTTTTCTTCACCACACGACTGAGAAAACACGGGGGGTTAGCCCTGCTGTGTGCAGCCCTCACGCTGGAGACAGGTGTGCCCTGCCCGCCCAGCGGTGTCCCCATGAATCCGGTTAGGCTGAAGGAAGACGCAAGCCCTCCGGCCACCCATCAAGCTCCTAAGAACAGGGCGCGCTGGTTGGCCAGGCGTTCTGGCTTTCTGTCCCCAGCCGTCCTGAGGGCGCCCGCGTATGGACAGCAGCCAGAGCACCACGCGGAGCCACACAGGCAGAGCTTGCGTCCCGCCGTCCGCTCCTGGGAAAGCCAGCTGTGTGGCTCCGCAGGTCACTGTGAAGACAAGAGGGGCGCAGTGCGCCGTGTGCGGAAAGCGCCCAGTATGGGGAGCCCTTCCGGTTCTCCACACGGTCCGGGAAGTTTATATTTGTGATCCCACGGAAAAGGCACTGGAATCCTAGCGAGTTAACTCCAACCTACCACTACCAGTGCCACGCACGGGGAGAATAAGACACTGTGGCATATTTATAGTCGTCGGGAGCCAAGGGGTTCTGAGTCCAGCTACCTGATGGCCAGCTGGAACAAGGGCCACAACCCAGGACCACACACAGGCTTTCTTAGCTCTCAGTGAGGGGAGTGGCTTGAGGACAGAGGACTGTGAGAGTGGCGCGAAGTGGGTGAGTGCCTGAGCTGGGCTAGGCAGGGGCCTGAAACACCTCCGCAATATGCAGAGGGAAAGATGTGCAGATAGAGTAATCTACATAACACAGCTGAGGTAGAATCTAATGTTTGGAGGCTGGTGCTTCAGCCTTGATGTGTAATTTTTTACGCCCTGTGGAGTGATAGCCTCTTTCTCAAGGCTTAATCCCAGCTGACAGGGTGGAGCGCGGCTCTCCATCCTGCCCGGCTCACATGTTTTCTGGGAGCTATGGGGGCGGCACAACACTGACCTGTGGTCTTGCTTCAAAGACTGCACAACAGCACTTCAGCTGGAGCAGTCTGCACTGCTTAAAGCAGCTGAGGGGATAAGGAACAGTCCAGACGAGCTCTGTACATATCAGGATGCAGAGCCAAGTTTAGCCAAAATGAAGACAATTTTTAAAAATGGAGACAACTGCTCTTCTTTCAAGGAGTCATCCAGGTGGTCCTCCACACCTGCCTCAAGACATCTCACAGTCTGGGAGCCAACATGGGGGGTTATGACAACACCGGAGAAGTGTGAGACAGACCTGCTGCTGCGGTCCTGCATCCTTGTGGGTTGCTGTCACCTGTCAGTGGCCAGGACCTCGAGTCAGTCCAGACTGACTTGTGTCAGGTGTTTCCCTGGAGCACAGCGCGAGGCTGGAGACCGCAGGTGGGGTCTGCACATCTGTCTCTGAGAACCGAGGTCCAGACTCCAAATCGCTGCTTGTTGCCAGGGACTACTTTTAAGAAGTGGATTCTGAGGCAGTTGATCTGGATGAGCCCAGGATAACCCAGTTCCAGCAGCCCAGAGGGTCTGACCACCTGCTCCTGAGCCAGGATCCACAGCCGGGGGCATGCAGTCCAAGGACGGCTGCTCACAGCTCCGGAACACACCACGTGAGTCAGGCCCATCACAGCCCCACAGCACCTGAGAGTCGCAACTCCTCGAAGCTGGTGCTTTTGGCTTATGCCATGTAGGCCTCGGCTCATCCTGTCCTGCATGGATACAGACCTGAGCAGAGGGCAAGGACCCACAGTGTGGACCCAAGCAGAGGGCATGCCCATCTCCTGGGTCTGTGGTCTTTATTGGCCTCCATCGAAGCCAGGCCCCAGGGACATCTTGCACAGAAACACGTCCATCCATACTCGGGGGGAGGGGAGCTCCTGGTGCCACCTGGGCTGCCAGTGTGGAGCTGGTCTATGTCATACCTTGTGGACGTGACCAGGACTTTGCCGTGTGGCGCGTGCACGCTGGCCCAGGGACCTGCAGAAGTGCCAGACTGGGCAGACGGGGCTCAGCAGCCACCATCAGCTCCCATTTGTCCATGACCACAGCTGGCAGCAGGGCCAGCCGGAACAATTCCAGCTTCTGACCCCAAAGCCTGTGCACTCTGATCCTTTCGGCTGGCTTCACCCAGACTTCCGATCTGCCACATCTATTCAGCATGGCACAGCGTGTCACAGCTGTATATTCATGCTGCGACAGTTCTGTCCTGGGTCTTCAGGATTCCTGTGTAATGACATCAGGTTTCCAAGGACCAGCTTGGACCACTCTCACCCGCCTTCCAGCCACACCCAGTGCTGCCCCATGGACCACTCTTCCCCCTGATAACATGACAGTCATGCCAGGCCACAGGGGACCTCACAGCGCAGAAGTCAGCCTGGTGGCCTGGGACAAGCGGGACAGGGGGCCCCTCCCCTGTTCTTTCTACCCATTCTCTTACACTCCGAGGGCAGAGGACACTGAGTCGGGGACAAAACAAGCCACATATGCTGCACACTGCACTGACAGCATGGTCATGCCTGGCAGGGCACTGTAGCGCAGCTCCGGCAGGTGTGGGTGCGGCTGACCTGCCTTGGGGCTCCAGACAGCGTCTCCCTCCCGCAGATTCTTGCGGCTACAGGCCTCAGGAAGGGAATGCAGAGACGGCAGGGACCGTTCTTCAGGGCGGCTTCAGGGTTCAGCTCCAGTTCTGATGTGCACATGGAGCTGTGAGGCCTGGCAGAATTGGCCTCCCCCTCCTGCCCACAGTGCCCACCTTCTGCTGGGCCGTGCCGGGGCACAGCATCCCTCTGGGCAGGGAGCACGTGCTGGGCTAGGCTGTGCAAGGGGCAGTGCTGGGGCCCTGGGCAGAGGCAGGCCGGCCCTGAAGGCCATGCTGTGAAGGGACAGTGTCCCTGACAAGCAGTGGCTGCACTTTCGTGGACTGAACTGAATTTTCTGTTCATCCGTTCCGTCCTTCCCTTCTCGGCCAGTCCCGGGATAAGATACTGCTCTGACAAGCAGTGGCTGCACATGCCTTCGGGATGTCACTGTGTAGCAGCCTCTCAGAACCACAAACCTGGGCATATCGTGTCTCTGTCTCTAATGTGGTCACCCACCCTGCAGGCAGGGCCCGAAAGGGACGAGAACGACGAAGGTCTACAGACACAGCACACAATTCTCATGCGGAGGTCTGAACCCCTTCCAGACAGGTCTAGAACAGGAAATTGGGTCCTGCTTGAACTGGGCTGGTGCCTGATCAGTGGCTCTCATTGTAACACAGGGGCACTATAACTGCCACAGCCTCAGTGGCTGCACTGCTGGGCTGGGCGTGGAGGCTAAACTGGAAAAGCAGAGCTTGGCTGAGGCAGGAGGAGCTTCCGGTTACCCTTGGTCTGCAGTGAGCAGGTGGCATTTCTCACGGCCCGACTGGCAGCTCAGGCCCCAGCCCTGAACATCGCCGCCACCCTGCATTCCACATCTGTCTATGAGGGGCGGGGGAGCGGGGTGGCTGGCGGAGGGCCTGCGGTGCTCACACGGGGGATGCAGACGTGGGTCACTCAGAGGCCCCCACCCCGGCTGGCTATGTCCTGCTGCAGCTGCCCCGAGCCAGGCGCAGGCCTGTGCTGCCCAGATCCTTCTGAACACAGCAGTTTGCTGGCAGCTTGTCTCAGACACCTGGTATTGGCACTGCCGGCTGTGCAGTGTGGGGTGGGGCAGAGGGTGTCGACCTCAGGGGCCGTGCTCTTGAGCTGCCTTTTTGAAATGCAAGCTGAGTTCACACTTGTCTCCAGAAGCGACAGAGACGGAAGCGCAAGAAAAGGAGATGTCGGAACCACAAGGGTCTTGCGCTCAGCACTGAACAGCACCCCAGCCGTGGCCATGTTTATTCGCCCTGGAGGAAGGAGGGCCACCATCTGGTCGTCTTTCTTGTTCACTGGAGCCAACTGCTCACTCCTTAGGGATTTATGGGATGGCAGAATCAGCCTCTGTTTCTCCCTGCTAAGTGAGCTTTTCCACGCGGGACTTCATGAGTCACAGCTGACGGTGAAGGCCTGGCCCATCCCTGTCCTTGGATGGCTTGATCTCGGCTACTTTGGAGATGCAGTTTAGGAAAAGCCCACCGGAAAATACACCAAAGTCGGCATTAGATGGGGAGGCCATGGGCAGGTCTTCACCTCTCCTGTTCTCACTTCCTCCGGATTTTTAATAATGAGAGATGTTGTTCTTATGAGTAGGGAAGAGCACATCCACGCTGTTTGTCTTTGAAACACAATCAAGCACTGTTCACCCAGGAGCCCTTTCACAGACACGCGCTTCCCTCCTCCTCCGATGTGCAGCGCACGGCCTGCTCAGCCACTGGGAAACCCAGCTGGTGAAGCGCAAACCCAACTTCAGCCATGTTGCTACCAGGCGTTCTTCTCATCTGTGTAAAGAGATCAGAACACTCTGCGGGGAATGTTAAGCCCTAACGTGTTCCCTGGGCGTGCACCTCGCCTGCCTGCTGCAGTGGCGTCTCCCTGCTCACCTGAGGCCCCTGTGTCTCCCCACAGGTGCAGGAGTCTCCTCGGGGGTCTCTGCCAACTCTCCCCGCACCTCTGGGGGCAGCACCCTGCCCCCCTCGCAGCACGCCCACAAAGGTGAGGGGCACTGGCCCGGTGCGGGCAGCCGTGGCTGGGGGCTCGGCAGGAGGGGCCCGCGGGGTGCTCACGCGGCTCCCCCTCATGCCCGCAGAGCTCTCCAGCCAAGGGCACCTGGCCACCGCGCTGATCATCGCCATGTCCACCATCTTCATCATGGCCGTGGCCATCGTCCTCATCATCATGTTCTACATCATGAAGACCCGGCCCTCTGCCCCAGGTGACAGCTCCCACCCTACCCTCCCTCCGGACACTCGTCCCTGGCCTGGGGACAGCCTGGCTGCTGACGTGCACCCTCTCTCCAAGCAGCCTGCTGCAGCAGCCCCCCAGGGAAGAGTGTGGATGCCCCTGCGAGCCAGGATGTGGAGAAGAAGGAGGCCCCAGGTCTGCTCCTGGGCCGGGACCTCGAGATGTTCTGCCCTGGGGTGGGGGACAGTGGCCAGGGACACCAAGCCAAGCATGGCCCGCTGACCCTCCCAACCCACTCCCGGCCCCTGCAGATGGCGTGGTGATCTTCTCTGAGAAAGATGACTTTGAGAAGCTGACAGCAACCCCAGCGAAGACCACCAAGAGGTACGAGGCTGCTGGCCCGGTGGGATTCAAACCGGGTCCCTGGGGAAAAGTCTCTCCATCCCGATGTGCAGGGCTCCATGCATCTCCCCTGCACACTGGAAGCGGTCATCCCCAAGGTAAACAAGGTGCCCAGCTGAGGGTGGGCAGCTGTGGGCCTGAGAGAAGTGTAAGCATGTTCTATATCTGAAGGCAGGAAAGCCTTCGGGTTTTGTCCCTGCCCATGCTCTGGGGTCTGGGGCCAGGATCTGGAATGCTTGGCCTGTGGCTTCCCAGGGTCAGCAGGATTTCCAGAACTTGGTGACTGCTGAGAGGCCCTGAGGCTTAGGAGGTGACTGTGGCTTGCTTTGCTTCAGGACTTGAGGGTCCTATGCCCTGCAGCTCCAGGACTGCAGGCATTACTGGCAAATTTGATCCTTAAAAAAATTAAGGTGGTCATGGTAGTACACATCTGTAATTTCAGTACTTGGGAGGTTGAGGCTGGAGGATCACTGTGAGTTTGAGGCCAGCCTGAGCTACAAAGTGAATTCAAGGCCAGCCTGAACTGCATAGTGCCTCAAAAAGACCAAAAAGACCAAAAAAAAAAAAGAAAAAAAAAAGTCAGTCTGCAGCCAGTTGAAGTCAGCCAGCAGGAACTCCACACTCATGGGACGCTCTGGGCTGCAGGCGGCAGTCCCTGTGCCCACTGGCATCCTCAGTGGCCCTGCTGTTACACCTGGCCTCCGGCACCTGGGCTCCACTCACAGCACACTTGGTTACTGGAGAAAACCACCCAGTTTGCAGCCTCCCTGCTCACCGCCCTGCCATCGTGGCCAGGGTCAAACATGCAACCCACCACCCACTCTGCGGCCCTTTGCCCAGCATCCTTGCAGCCAGGCAGGGCGGGGTGAGCAGGTGCCATCCGACCTCAGTGTCTCCACAAAGCCTCAAAAGCCCGAGGTACTGCAGGTCACGCCGAAAAGGATGGTGGAAGGAGCAGGGAGCAATGATGTGCTCTCCCACTTCGCATGCCACCAGAGCCACGAGGTGCACAGGGACACTAAGGAACATGTCCCAGCACCTACCTGTCCACACGGGCCTGCAGGTCACCCCGGGATGGCACAGCACCCGGCTCTCTACACCCGGTGGCAGGGCACCCCTGAGATATGTCATGGCACCCGGCTGCTCACCTGTGGGATGGATGTGGGGATTACCCCAGGAAGGGTCACTGTGCTTGGCTGGCACCCCCACAGAGCCCAGCAGGGCTGCAGCTTCCCCATGTGGCCCACGTGTACTCCTCTTGTCCCCAGTGAGAATGACGCCTCATCGGAGAACGAGCAGCTGCTGAGCCGGAGCGTGGACAGTGACGAGGAGCCAGCACCTGACAAGCAGGGCTCCCCAGAGCTGTGCCTGCTGTCCCTAGTGCACCTGGCCAGGGAGAAGCCGGCCCCCAGCAGCAAGTCGGCCGGGGTGAGGCCCATGGTGTCTGCAATGTCCCCTCAGTGCCCCCGTGGGATAAGCTCCAGGACAGGTGCTCCTGTCCACACCCAGCACCACACAGGGACAGGGCCGTCTCCCTCCATATGCTGCCTCTTAGAGGAAAGCAGAAAATCAGAAATGCCAGAGAACAGAAAAACCCTTTGTAACAGCGATGTATGTTTCTGCACACATGTACGCTATGCACGTGAGCACATACAAAATACACACGCAGTCAGCCCTTTGTGTCTGCAGGTTCCAAATCGATGGGTTTAACCAACCCAACAGAAAATAGTGGACGAAGCAAGCCTGTGTGTGTTCCAGGCGCAGACTTCACTACTGCCTATGCGCTGTAGCTCACCAGCTCTCCGCACAGCACTTACACCATGTTCTGGAAGTGGCAGAGTGATGGACAGTGTGTAAGGGCTGTGCGTGGGTTCTGCATGAGCACTGGGTCCTTTTACAGGAGACTTGGGCATTGGATTCTGGGGTCCTCGCGTCCTGGAGCCAGACCCAGAAGTCCAGGAACAATTGCACATGTCTTTTGCAAACTCCTTTGCACATTTCTTTTACACTGAAATAGGCTCACTTATACACACCAGCCAGGTGTTTCACCTCAGATCAGAAGCCCTGGCCCATGGGCTTCTGGGACCAGCTGTGCAAGTGTGGCAGCTGGGGAGAGGCCTACCTAGTTCTGGGCCAGGCTGGCCCTGTTGGGGCACTGTGCGACCTCTCTATAAGGCCATATTCACAGGGACCCTGAGGAGCTTGGTTGTCACAGAGGCCATGGGGCGGGGTTCCTCAGCCAGGGCCGCTCAGCACCCATCCTTGCCCCAGAGAGGAGATATCGCCTGGCTCTGCCCTTGGCCAGCTGGGTCTTACCCTTGGTCCCCCTGCCCAGAACCTGGTGCCAGCCCACCTCCACGTCCAGTGCAGGTGAGAGGACCAGGGTGCTAGCTGGGACCCTGAGGGAATCTCCTGCCTCCTGCAAGCCATGTGTGAGGACTAGCGGCCTCCCCTGGCCAGGGCGGAGGTGGAGGCAGGTGAACTCTCAACTCTTTTACAGATCCAAAGCCGAAGGAAGAAGATCCTAGACGTGTATGCCAACGTGTGTGGCGTTGTGGAAGGTGGGTGTGCCAGGGCCATGAGGAAGACACAGCCTGATGTTCCAGGGGCCCGCGCCTGTCTGAACCGACTGCAGGTGTGAAGCCAGGGGTGTAGGGGGTCCCGGCAAGCAGAGGCGCTGCCAGAATCCCGGCGCCCCTACCCACAGAACAGAAGATGTCAGTGCCATTATGAGGGCCTGGGAGCCCGACAGAAGATCTAGGCGCTCCAACGCCTGTGCCCACTAGCCTGGTCATTTGTCCAGTAGTCAGTCCCTGAGCAACAGGATATGTCCTGCAAAACACAGGTGGGCGATGTCACCGGCCACAGATCTTATGGGGCCACAGCATTTGCGACTAGGTGCTAATAGGCACACGGGGCAGTGTGTGCTCGTCCCCAGCAGTCCCCTCACCCCTCAGAAGTGGACGGTGCTGGCCAAGGGTGCCCACCTCCTGTCACAGCTGCCTCTGATGTAGTGGATGCACCAGGTGCGGACAGGTGAACAGCCAGAACAAAGACAGCTTGAATCCTGAGCTGTGGTGGCATCTGGCCGAGTGACCCTCACTCCCAAGGGTGAACCCTCCACTGCTAAGGCCGGGCGCCCACATCCACCTGGCAGGGAGGCAGGAGGGGAGCCGGGCAACCTGGTACTCATAGCCCCAGGGACTTGGGCAGGGTTTTAGGTGCGTGCTGGACGCAGGATATCCCCAGCCTCACCCCTGGTCCTGCTGGGGCTGCCTGTGCAGTGTCTGGGGGCTGTGCTGCAGTGCCCGAGCCCTCTGCTGAGGATGGCCTGGCCTCAGGAGCCCCGGGCACAGGGCCCCTCTGATGGTCAGTCCTGCTCTCCAGGCCTCAGCCCCACGGAGCTGCCCTTCGACTGCCTGGAGAAGACCAGCCGCATGCTCAGCTCCACATACAACTCCGAGAAGGCCGTGGTGAAGACCTGGCGCCACCTGGCAGAGAGCTTCGGGTTGAAGCGGGACGAGATCGGCGGCATGACAGACGGCATGCAGCTCTTTGACCGCATCAGCACGGCGGGCTACAGCATCCCCGAGCTGCTCACGAAGCTGGTGCAGATCGAGAGGCTGGACGCTGTGGAGTCACTGTGCGCAGACATCGTGGAGTGGGCGGGGGTCGCACCCCCTGCCTCCCCACCCCCAGCTGCTGCGTCCTGAGGGTGCCAGGGATGTCCCATCCTACCCGCAGGAGCTGGGGTCTCCGGGCCTTTGCAGGTGTGGAATCCAAGCTTCTGCTGGGTCACCATGCACCTTACAGGAAGCAGCCCTGCCTCCTGTCCCACCCAAGGTGAAGGCTGAGCGGATCTCCAGGCCCAGCTTCCCGGGCACAGGGATTTTATCCACTGACCGCCATGAATTCACCCAATGGATGCCTGGGACCAGGGAGCCAGATCCTGTGGAGCAACAGGTCTCTAAAGAGTGGAAGCTTAGCAGCAGGCAGAGACAGAGGGGACCAAGGAGCAGCGTGAGGAGGGGAGGGAGCCACGGATGCGTTCCAGCCCTTAGAGGGTGTGAGGGCTGCCCGGGAGAGGAAGGTGGCGGCTGTGTGGCAAACCTGTTAGGATGCAGTGCCCCAGGCTCCCTGGACGGAGCCTCGCTGTGTGCTGCTGTCACCCACACGCAAGGCCAGTGTGCTGCGACCAGACGTGTACGGCACCCGGCTCCACTGACACGCGAGTCCCAGGCCTGAGACACTAGAGAATGGCCTCATGGTCTCAGGCAGATGCCAGTGCCCCAGCACACACGTACCGGGCCGTGCTTCTGCTTGACACAGATCTGAGAGGGGGCCGCTAGACTGCAGGGGTGTCAGAGTGGCTGAGGCCCATGGCCCAAGGGTTTCAGACTCTCCTGGGCTGGTGTCCCAGCCCCTTCTTCCCCTCCGCGGCCCTAGAGAGCTCGACCTTTGATGCGGTTAGGAGAGTGTCAGGTGAGCGGAGAAAGCAGCAGAAAAGCAGCCCAGGGGCTCCGCGCAGTGTGGACAGCGCAGGCCGGCAAGAAAATGGCAACGGACAGGACGCGGCTGGCTTCTTCCCGGTACCCGCAAGCTGGGGACAGAGCTGCTGCCCGGCACAGCTCCCGCAGACCCACACCACTGCGCTGACGCCGGGTGAAACCAGTCCTGACCCAGATGATTTCATAACTCTGAGCACCACGAGGGAGGACACGCGTGGGGCTCCGCGACGCGAGAAGCAGCCTCCCACCACGGGGCGCAGGGGACGCCACGGGGATGGCGGTCGGGGCTGGACAGTTACTGTCATCACCGGCAGTCCTGCTATGGCTGTGTCCCAAAACCCATGCAGCAACCCTGCGCTCTGCCGGCTAAGGGTCCCATGGCGACGGCTAGTTGTCCTTCTCATTCCTCTCGGGAGCCCTGCCGTGCCCCTGGTGTTGGTGCTGGCAAACTGTCACCCCCACCTGTGATTAGACATACCGGTCACAGGTGAGCAGTGTGCAGGGGCAGGGCGGGGCCGCCACCCCATCAGGCGCCATCCAAGGGAGCCAGCAGTCCAGAGCCCCGCCTCCACGTCAGTTACTTACGTGAAACACCCAAGGAAGGCTTGTGCCTCTGGGATTCTGAACTACGAGTCTGACCTCCAAGGCCTCCACCAGGCTACATGGTGTGAGACAGTCGCTACTTTACAGTACCAAAACACGTTCAGGAAGCACTCCCGGCAAGGCCAGGGGCCTCGGCGAGTGAAGTCTTAATTGTGAATATATCTACCTGATTCTGTGTAATTTATTACTATTTTATAATCTCAGTAAACACATGAATGAAACAGACATTGCCGTGTGAGCTGTGTGTGTCCACCCGTGTGCGCGAGTGTGTGCTGGGTGCTGGGTGGAGACGAAGCCAGGCTGCCTGCCCGGTATGATCAGGCTGCAGGCTCAGCCACCGTGAAGGAAGCACCCGACACACGGCTCAGGCCACTCCCTCCGCCAAAGCAAGCATTGCAGGGTCACGTGAAACCCCCCAGGGCTATGCTTCCAGCCTGCCCATTAGTTCATGAAGCAAAGTACCACAGAGCTGCTGCTGCATAAAGAAACCGCCACCCAAAAGGCCAGGGCCCTTGGCGAGTCGTCTTAACTGTGAATGTATCTACTTGAGTCTGTGTAATTTATTATTATAATCTCAGTAAACACACGAATGCAACAGACACTGCCATGTGGCACGCAGAATCCAGCGGCACGCAGCGGTCATTTCCCACCCTAGCTTGGGGGCCAGCAGGGGTCAGTAGGCCCGCAGGCCTTGGCCTCTACCTGTAGGGAGACCTTATGGATAGCTCTACTCAGTCATCCCACGTCCTTCCAGTCAGTGAGCCAGAGATTGTTCTCACTGGGACAGGGCTGAGGGCAGACAACCGGAGCCCAGGGTCAGGGAGAGGTTCCCCACATACACGTGGTCAAGCAGCGACAGCAGGGACATGGGAACGGCTGTCGGTCAGCTGGTGTCATTACAACTGTGCCAGAGGTGTCAGCCGTGGTGGCTCACGGTCTGAGGTCACATTAAGGCCTATCGGCCTCCATGCTTGGCCCATGGCTGAGACCGTGGCCAGGCTGCAAGCCAGGGCGGAGCACGGGGCGCAGCTCGCGTCTGGGGAGTAAAAGCGGTGGGGAGCAGTGGGGACCCAGTCCTCCGAGCACAGGACTGGCCAGACAGAACCTGTGACCACCATTAGGGTCACCCAGGGCCTCTCACTTGTCACGTTTCAGCCACCAGTGCACAGGGAGCAGGTCCCCTCCCAAGAGTCCTCTGTGCACAGGCTAGGACACGTGTGACACCCGTCCAGCATCAGTGTCACACACAGCAGGCCCCTGCCTCCCTGCACAGGCAGGGCTGACACGTGGTGGTGCATTTCCACCAGGATGGTGCCTCACAGAGCAAGGCCTTGTGCGCACCCTCTCCTCCCGCCCCTGGCTAACCCTGGCCTTGTCGCTGTCTCTGGTCTGGCCGCCTACGGCACAGGTGGGGTTGGGTGCCCAGCACTAGCCCTGGGCGCCCTTTCTCTCGGTGCTGTGCACTTCGGTCTCCCCACGTCCCTCACGCCTGTGAACTCAGTCCCCACCACGAACACCTCACTGGACCGCGGTGTGCGGTTCACCTGCCCATTCACTGCTGCTGAGGTGCTGGCCACAGGACGTGCTATGACCATCATTTTCTCCATTAACTACAACCCCTTTTTTTCTTTTGGAGTTGCGTTTTTGGTTTTTTGGGGGGACTTCTTTTGTGGTGCTAGGGATCAAACCTAGGGCCTTGTGCATGTAGGGCGACAGCTTTACCACGGAGCCACATCCCCAGCCCCCATGTTTATTTCTGACTATTTTTTGTAAGCTGTTTCCTTGCTTTTCTTAGGTTATCACAATCTTTTTTTTTACTCTGATCAGATTCCTTTCCCAAAATCATCACTGACTCCTCAAACTGCAGTGTGGGTGTTGAGTGGTCTTGCTACGCTGCTCAGGCTTGTCTCAAGGTGTGGGGTGCCACAGCCTCCCGAGCAGCTGGGACCACAGTGCAGCTCGGAGCGGCCTGATCATATGGGCCTGACCCCACTCACCGGGTCTCGCGCTGGAGGCCGCAAAACACAAAAAATGGGCACCCGGGGCCAAATTTACAAGAGTCACAACTCAGGAACTGATTCTTACAAATGTCTTCTTTCCTGTCAGCCCAGATCTAGAAGGGAAAGGGCGAGGAGGGAGGAAGGCAGGAAAAACCTTTACTTCATTCTCCTTTTCTCAAGCAGGGTTAGACAGAGATCAGACGTGGCCTGGTGAGATCAGCCGCAGGGGCGCGAGAGCGTGTAAGAATGGGAAGACCCCAGAGCGGAGGTCAGGCTCGGAGGCACACAGAGCACCCCGGTTACTTCCGGGGTCTAGGAGCAGACACTGACTGGCGATGAAAGGACAGCTGGATCCAAAGTACGTGTGTGACAAAGCAGCTCAAGCGACCTGCTCAGACGGCCAGTTTTACCAGCACCTGGCAGAGCAGACTCCAACGTTTCCTTGTCCTTGGTACACAATCTCCAGACAAAGTTTTGCATGAAGCAGCTTCACAGCAGTTTTAAAAATGACAGTCCCCTCACCCCTCACAGCACCCTTTCCAGAGTCAGATGCGCTGTTGCTTCAGGCGTGTTTACACTTTACACAGGGCTGGCAGGCTCACTGGAGTCCGTAGAAAAAACACAATCTCCAAGCAAGCACGGAACACAGTAACAGCATCCCTGGTCTGAAGAGTTCTAATTTACTTGGAAATGGCTTAGACATTTTCTGAATTATCTACTATTCATTAACTTACCAGTACTAAGGAGTGAACTCAGGGCCTTTGCACTGAGCTACAACTCTAGCCCCATTTTAAAATATTTTTATTTTGAGACAGAGTCTCACCAAGTTGCCAGGTTGCACAGGCTGGGCTCAAATTTATGATCCTCCTGCCTCAGTCTCCCAGGTGTGTGCCACCACGCCAGGCACTTATCAAAAAGATATGTGAAACTAGTTTAAGTAGACATATTTCATAAAATACAATACTGAAAAGTCACTTAAAATTTTAAGCTACTTACACTCACCAAATTTATTTTTAACAATTATGTTTGAAATGGTCTTTAAACAAAACTAATCATTTAAAGAATTCAGGAAATGCCATTCCAAAATGTGCCTCTTTGACATAAATATTCTTTTCAGCTCAAAGAAGTCAAGCAGCAGCAAGTGAGGAAAGTTCTATTTTCTCCCCTTTCATCTAAAGAAAGAACACACATTTTTCTCTGCTGGTGACAGCTCTGATGAGACACCAGGCACCCGAAATGAGACTCGCTTCATCAGTCTTACTTTCTTGCCTCTGAAAGCCTAAAGCTGCTTCCCTTGATAGATGTGGCTTTTTTTCTGAAGAGTTCTAAAATACCTAACGTCAGAAAGGTGTGTTCTGAGACTGCATCAGTGCAGCACGCAGGGCTGTTTCTTGGTTAGATTACCGACTCCAGGTACCCACTGATGAGACGGCGCTGTGCGTGTCTCTGCCTGGATTCTGCATCGGAAACTTAAAAAAAGCAGGCCTGCTTTACCTGAGGGCTTCACTTTTATAATTATTTCTCTGGGTTTTTTCTTTTGGAGTGGGCAGGTATCCAAAAGAAAAGAAAAACAGATTCAAAGTGAGCCGGGAGGAGAAGGGCGCTCGAGGCCCCTGCGTGCCGTCCCGTACACGCAGGGCATCCCGCCCCACCTGCCAGCTCCCAGCCAGTCTCCTCAGCCCAGGCCCAGTGAAAATGAGACGGGAAAGCCTGAGGGATTCCTCTGAACTCTCCTTTGTGCCTAGCGTCCACTGCTTTACAGGTGCGTACGAGTGGACCATAACGCTTGAACATACAGCCACGCTGGAGCCCACAAAGCAAGGAGTCTGGACACGCCTTGGACTTTGAAAATTCCACTCCACGTCTTCTTTTAGAGTAAAAATTTAGTGGAGAAAAGGAATGGGGAATAGAATAGCTCCTGAGACAGGAGGGGGCCTGAGTGAATTGCCCCACTCCACTTTCCAGTCATTCCTTCAAAGCAAAAGAGAATTCCATAAACCCATCGAAGAACACGAGTCTGGGCACAGGGCTCTGTTCTGGCAGGGTGCTGCACCGCGTCCCTCCGTTCCGTGGTGCACGCTCTTTGCCCTGGGTGTGCGGCCCTGAGAGAGGTACCCTTGTGCTCAGGGGGAGCTGAGCTTGCCCGGAACCCGGACAGGAGACTTCGTGTTTGGAGACTCAAGCCCCTGACATGGTGGTGACTGCCCTAACGGCTTTAGGCTGCCCAGCCCGGGCCCACCAATGTGTGTTTATTTTTGATCTCCAAAAGGTGTCAGAAACCAGCAGGGATAAAAAAAGTTAGAGAGTCAAATAATTCACTGCTGTGTGTAAGCAACCAAAAACAAAACCAGGAGTATCCAACCAAAAAGAACTGCTGTCAGCCAGAAAGGGCTTTCCAGACACGACGGAGGCTTTCACAGTCCCAGGATGGATGGAGATCCTTTAGTAAGGCAACCTCACCCAGAGCCCAAATGGCTCAAAACTCAACCTAAAGGGAGGACAGGGAACCACGCGAGAGCCACTGAAGCAAAGGTGACTGAGGGTGGCAGCGGCAGAGGAGCTCAGATGGGTGCTGCACTCCAGTCTGGGGGCTGCCAGCCCTCTTGGAGTAAGCCTGCCACAGACCCCACTTCTGGCACCAGAGCAGGTCGACCAGAAGTCTTCACAGAGCAGCTCTCAGAAAAGACAGACAGAGTCTATTCAAGAACAAACAAGATTATAATCTAGGATAGCGTGCCATGATGGATGACAGACATACCTAGGGAGGCTGAGTCAAGAAGACTTTCATTTTTTGAGACAGGGTCTCACTATGTAGTTTAGGCTGGATGTACCCCAGGATAGCTTCAAAGTCACAGTGATCCTCCTGCCTCAGCCTCCCGAGTGCTGGGACGACAGGTGTGCATCCCCATACCAGGCTAAGAGGAAACTTACATGGAGAAAGGTTCTACGAGTTGAAACAACTATCTTAGGAATCCAGGTGCAGAGATGTTTCTGGGGCTGATGTCTTCACAGAAGTAATGGCTGCAGGGCTGCAAGGCTGCAGCTGTAGAGTGCTCGTCATGGGAACCAACTACAGCACGACACGTGGGTGTTTCAGGGATCTCTGTTCTGTTCCAGCGAGGGGCTGGTCTCTGGCACTCGCCGCTTTAGAGCAAGCAGGCTGGGTCTTCTCCCTCAGCTCTCCTGTCCCTAGCTGGACCGCAGCCGCAGCTTGTCGATACCCACACAGTAACCCCTGCGGTTCTGACTGGGTTACAGCGAATCCACCCGGTCCTCTGCAGTGAACTGACATCTTGTTAATACAGAGGAGCTTTCTGCTTACCTAAGTACTCTCTGAGTGCATCAGTTTCCCTTTATGGAATTTTTACACAGTGGCTGGATTTATACCGAAATATTTCACTTTGGGGAGTTACTGTGTTTCTAATTTCAAGTCCCAGGTGCTCACTGTTGGCTTTTGTTTCACCTCACACCCTGAACTCTGCTCTGACTGCGTACTGGTTCCAAGGAGGGCTTTTTCTGCTGTTGTTGATTCTTTCAGAATCTTTTTAAAAGACAACAGCTGCCTGTGGACAAAGCCGTTCTATTCTTTCCCAGTCAGCTTCGCGTCAGCCAGACTCTCAGCACGGTGTTGCTCCCTGCCTGGCTCCTGTCTTTGTGGAAAGCTTCTAGTTACTCACCACCGAGGGTCATCCATCCAGGGTTTTCTGTAGCTCTTCAGAGCTGAAGTTCTCCTCTACTCCTAGGTTACAGTTTTAGCATGAATAGCTGTTGGGTTTTTGAAAAAATGTTTTTCCAAATCCGTTGCTACGATCACAAGATCTTTATTCTTAGGCCTGTCACATGAATGCTCACATTAATTGATTTTTCAGTGCTGACCCAGCCCAGCTTCCTGGGTGAACCCACAGGTCACGGTGTGTGTTGTGACATGAAGACCAGTGCTTGGGCATGTGCTGTAGCCAGGGTGCCAGCTCCGGGCAGGGCACGTGCTTGGCAGGCGTGAGTCTCTGGCTTGGATCCTCAGCACCACGAAAGAAGAAAGAGCTTAGAAAATACATACTTTGCCTCCCAAATGGAGGATTCTACTATATTATGAAAACATGGTTTATCTGTTCCCCCATAAGCACCAATTTTATTCCAAATAATGACATAATTTTAAGAAAGAATTTTCCTAAGATACTTTTATAAAAAGTAATGCCAGTGTCATAAATTCTGGAAATGCCATCTTGTACATTCATATTACCTTAAAAAATATTTCAAAAAGTCCACAGCACCTACAGATTTCATTTACCAAGCTGAAAAAATTTTCCTGGTTATCTGTCATGATAAATGATGTTACTGGTAACTTGGTAAAATTTCAGCTACTTTGTCGAGTTTTCTTTTTTACAACTAAGCAACAGATATATACTGTAGAAATATAAACAAGCCAGTCTAATGGCCTGCACTGGAGGCCAGGCAGCTGCCTTTCGTCAGTCCCAAATTGAACAGCGTGGAGTTCAGGTTGATGCAGAGGAAGGCGTGCTCCGGATGCGTGGTCCGCTGTAACTCTTGAAGCATCAGGTGAATGGTAAAAAGTTCAAAGAGCTTCTTGTTACTCCTGTAGGGGAGTGAGTACGTTATGTCATTACACACCCTTCGGAGATTCGTCTACTGACCTTGAGAGGTCACTCACGAGTTAAGGGGAGAAATTAGCATGTCTTTCTAAAAACAGTGGAGAGAATGGCTGGCTGAAGAGTTCAGTGTGGACACACACCAAACAGCTTCCAGGAGAGCTGGGCGGAAAAGCACTGAAGTGCAGTTGGCATTCTGCAGTCCTGAAGACTGCACCTGCTCACTGCTGGGGTAAGGAATTTCCTTCTCCACAGCTAGAGAGTCAGCGCCTGGGTGTTCAGAGTACGCTGACTCTGCCACGGCCTGGTGCCAGGGCACAGCAGACTCAGCTCCAGTACATGCGGCCCTGCGCTGTCTTCTCAGCTCCTTGTCTCCTGAGGGAGACCCCATGTGTCCTGCTTACCCGCAGGGCCCGGGGTAAACTACCCGCCAGGCACTGCTGCTCCCAGCCCTCCAGGCCCAGCTCTGCTCTGGTTCTTCCTCTAAGTCTAAAATGAACCAGAGCTACAAAAAACATTGTGGACAGAACGGTAAACGTGCACTTTGGGGCTACTCTTTCGAAGTCTCTTGAAGGAAGGAAGGGGTAAAGAACAACTGCATCTGGGTGATGTTACCACAGCCCCTGGCCCGGCCAGCCCGCAGGAGGGTTCCCTCATCTCGTCCGCAGTCAAGGCCCAGTGTGCAGCCAAGGCAGGCAGTGAGCAGTATGCCAACTTGATTCTAGATGGGGACGAGCCGTGGTGAGCTGAGCGGAAGACAGCTGGACGGCCGTTAACTGACCCCCACAGCTTGCCTGCAAGTCTCCCAAGGGTGCACTGTCCTCACTACCTAGGGATAGCGCAGCCAGGTGGAGCTCTCAGGTCAGGGGCCAGGACCAAGGGGAGCGGTGAACCAGCGGCAAAATTATGCTGCGATGGGTAGGTGTCTGGGGTAGGCTCAAAGGAAACATGAGACTGCACCCAGTTCAAGAAGAACAGCTTGAAATCTACACCCTTCTGTTACGGTTTAAAAACTGGTCCTACCAATGTATGAGTCAGAGCAGGAGGAGGAGGAGAGAGAAAGCCCCTGACTCTTAGAAGAAAACCCTAAGCAGCAGAAGGAAGCCTCTGAAGGCCCTAAACAAACCCAGGTGCTAAAACCATTCGAAATTGCTTTGCCTGCTGCGTTCTCATCCCTCAACTTCCTTCAGCACATTAATGAGAAATTATAAAATGCAGTCATCACACTTCTGACTTTCACATGTGGCACTTGAGAGCACCAGTGTGCAGTGACTCGTCCTGCTACTGGTACGTGGCGGCCAAACCCTAGTCTTAGGACTCTGGAGTGGAGCTCCGTGCTGAGCACTTACTTGCCTAACATGTAATAAATAGTCTCTGGGTTCATCCCCAGCACCACAAAAAACAAGCAACCTGCTCTTAGTTTCATATACTATTACATACCATCTATTGTTAAATACTGGTCTCAGGTAAGGTTTAATACTCATGAATCTTAATTTTTTGTATCTGAAGACTAGAAATTTGATTTCACAATTGAAGTTGATCTGGTTTGGAATTCATTAAGACCTAAATGATCACATTAACATATATATCAGTAACAAATATATCAATAAAAATGTAAGAAATAAATTCTTACTTGATTTTCGAAAGTTTCTGGAGAATAATACTGAGCTTTTCTAGGATCTGAAGATCAAGCTTAGGGGTTCGAAGCAGCACAGAACAAGTACGAAAAAATAAAGAGTTGCTGCAGGCTTCCAGGAAAGGTTGCAGAGCTTCTGCAAAATAAATCACCAAGCTTTACGTCAGGAGTAGTGGCGAGGGAGTTCAAACAAAACCAGAACTGCACAGGTGGTTTACAAATATAACCTGGAGTTTCATTCTTTCACACTTAAAAACTTTGGGGGGAAATTATCCCTTGAAATATTAAAACACCCACTGGCTCTCACTGACCATCACGAAGGAAAGGAGAGATTATCTTCCCAATGTCAAGCTTCCACTAGACAAAACTCAGTGGAATCCATTTGATTTGTAGAGATGGAAGGGGTTCTGGGTGGGGGAGACGAGGGGAAGAGAAAGGGATGAAAAAGAATCGAGGTGCAGTACATGTATGTACCCCTTCCCACGACAGATGTAGCCATCACATACTGCATACATATACTAACAGAATTCTTTAAACCCCAAGTTGAAAACAACAAAGGGTGAAAGTCATTTCTTTCCTTTTTTTGAGACAGGGTCTCGCTGTGCAGCCCAGGCTGGCCTCGAACTCACAGCGATTCTCCTACCTCTACCTCCCAAGTGCTGGCATTACAGTATGTGCCACCAAGCCCAGTATGAAAGTAATTTAAGAAGCTCATAACTAAGCTCAGTTTAGATAACTGGTAACAAGAAATTTTTTACAGTGGCAAAACAAAAGTCCACAAATTTAGGGATTTTTTTCTCAAAACTAAAAATTTAAAATTTATAACAGTTTTCAAAACTAATAATTAAGGCCAGGGTGTGGTGACGCAGGCCTGCAATTCTAGCACCCAGGAGGCTGAGGCAGAAGGATCACTTCAAGTTTGAGGCCAGCCTGAGCTACAAAGTGAGTTCAAGACCAGCCTGAACAGCATAGCAAAACCTTGTTTCAAAAAGACAAAAAAACCCTAATAATTAAAAGGCATAAAAATTTTTTAAGATCTAATTTCTTGAAAAAATTAAAAGGCAAATTCCTAGAAAACAGAACAAGCAAAAGATATATACCAAACTCAGAAGTGGAGGGGTGTTCCTTTTCCTGAATCTGCCATCAGACTGATACAATCACTCTTATAAGGTCTTATAAGTCAATTTTAAAAGCTGCACCTGTATTTTTAGTAATAAAAAAGCATGCCCAAAAAACTTTTACAGCAGGATACAATCAAAATAATCTCAGTAAGAATAAAATAATCGTAACTTGTCGATTTTTTTACTAAAGCTCTTCATAGCACATATATCCTTTGATTTAGCTTTTCTGCCCCTAAGAATATGTCTGATAGATGAATGGACACAGAATATGAACCACAGTTTAAAAGCACTGTTAGAGCTGTTGTGTGTTTATTACAAAATAACATATATAATGCTTTTAAAGGTATGAGTCACTAGTACTGGCTGTTAGAGAGAAACCTGCAAATGAAACACCTCAGAAAAATGTTAACCCATGACCTCATGAATGCTTTAACTCTTGTGCAAAGCATCTGGAGAAGTCGAGGCTCCTACCAGGAACACGGGCCTTGTCCCAACACAGACAGAGTCATGCTGTCATCCAAGACAGAAAGACACAGGGCGCTGAGCTTGCTACCTCGTCACCCACACATGCAGCCTGCGCGGGGCACTGACTGGAGCTCAGTTTGGGCTTGGTGATGCCCTCCTCAGCCAGCCAGCTCCCTACACCCCTCCCCAGGGCAGCATCACCAACCCTGGACCAAGACCACCAAATGCATGGGTCAGAACCAACCCATCCTCCTCAAGGTTGTTTCTCAGGACTTGGCCACCGCGACTGAGGGCTGACCACACAGCGGCGAAATCCAAACCCATGCTGAGCATTGAGCCTGCCGGCAGCAGCGCCCCCTCACAGAGCTGTGAATGCACACGCAAACACAGGGCGTCCATACAGCCTGGGCCCACTGGGAGCTCTTGAGGACATGTGCCCAGAGCCACCTGCTCCAGGCCCCACAGGTCTGGCCACGCCTGGCAGCTCAGATGTAAAAGGTTCACAGAATGCTTATTAAGGCACAACCAAAAAATGGGGAAATAGTTTTTAACCTCATTTCTGAACAGAAGCTAGAGTGAAAATATTTTATTTTTCCTGTGAAATGCATTTCACTAAATAACATATAATAAACATTGTGTTTTTACCTGTCTATCCATCCATCCATCTTTTCATCTGAATACAACCATAGGAAGATGTCTGAAACTGTGTTCACCTAGTGCTAACGATGATCCTTTCTAAATAAGAAGTCTGTGGGCTTTTTAAAAAACATCACTTTTATGCTTTCCTCTTTCAATTTTTTATCCAAAAGTTCTTCTATTTGATTATTTTTTATTTTTAGTTGAACAATAATTGTGTGTTGCACCTGTCAATTTTCTCATGACTGGGACAAGATACCCGACACTCTGCACTCTAAGGAAGGGAGGTTTGCTCTCCGCTCAGTTTCTGGTCTGTGCCAGGCAGAAGCGCGTGGCGGAAGGGCTGGGCCAGGCTACGCCCAGTGGGGAAGCTGCTCACCCACGCAGCCAGACAGCAGAGCTGAGGAGAGCCAGAGAGGGCGCCAGGGACCGGAAGTGCCATGCTGGGACACAACCCTATCTGCCTGCAAACGCTGCCGCCCAGGCCCTGTCCCGAAGCTGTCTTCTATCCTTCTAGCAGCTTCATGGTTTCAGGGATTGTGTTCAACTCTTTGTTCCAGAGCTGATTCCTGTGGTGAGGGGAGACAGGAGCCAGTGTCATTTTTCTGCATCTGTAGATTCAGGTCCCTCACCACCACTTATTGAAGAAACCGTCCTTTTCCACTGTGTTGTCTTGGCACTGTTGTCAAAAAATCGATTATCAAGGTGCTGGGTTCAAGTTCCAGCCCCTAAAAAATAAACAAATCCATCCATGTGTGCAGACCATCCTGTCTCTGTCAGCACCATGCCGTTCTAACCACCACAGCTTTGTGTGATGCTTCCAAATCCAGGAGTCTGGGGCCTACAGCTTTGCTCTTGCCCAGAACAGCTTTGGCTGCCCGGAGTCGTCTGTGGCTCCACAAGAACTTCAGGAATGTTTTCTCACCTCTGTGAGGGATGACGAGGGATCCTGACAGGGCCTCCACTGGGTCTGCGTACCACTTTGGGCAGTCTGGACACCTCAGGGATACTGACTTTCTCACCCAGGAACGTGAGGTAGCTTCACTTATCTGTCCCATTTATTTAGTCTCTCCCATTAGTGACCTGTAGCTTTCAGTGCACAAGTCTTTTGCCTCCTTGGTTGTATTTACTAAAATTTATCTGATGCTATTATGTAAACGGGATTGCTTTCTTAGTTTTTTTTTTCTTTGGTTTTTTTTGAGACAGGATCTCACTATGCAGTTCAGGTTGGCCTTGAGCTCACTTTGTAGCCCAGGCTGGTCTTCAACTGCCAACCACCTTCCTGCCCTCAGCCTCCCGAGTGCTGGGATTACAGGCGTGCGCCACGACAACCAGCTTAATTTCGTTTTTGTAAAGCTCCGTTTTTGAATAGTTCATTAGTATATAGAAATGCTACTGACTTTTTTTAAGTGGATTTGGTATCCTGTGACTTCACTGAATCCCCTTACCCGCTCTAACTGGGATACTGCCCTGCAGCTCTCAGTTTTTAAGTTAAATGTGTAAAACACAGACTATGCCACTTAAAGTGCACAGCAGTGCTAAGTGTTTCACTCTCTCACGTGGCCTCACCCTGCCCCTCCGCAGAACCTCCTCACCCTTTGAGAACGAAGCCACCTCAGCAACACAGCTCCTCCTTCCTGCCTGCACGCCTCCTTTCCCCAGAAGTGGACACACACCGGCCCTTTACGCCTGCGCTTTCACCCAGCACAGTACCTTCAAGGCTTGGGTCACAGTTTCACTCCTTTCTAAAGCTGCTAATAACTACTGTGTGTATGGTGTGTGTTTCTCACACCATGTTCTCTCTTGTTGCTGTCAAGATTCGGTCTCTGACGCCTGGCCAATTGAGGATCACGTTCCTTAGAAGTCATGTTAGTGTGCAATTACTGTGTGGTGACAGAGGCCATCTCACTGATGTCCATGTCTATTGGCCTTAGGGTTGAAGAGAGATGGCTGGAGACAGGGGTGGCCCGTGGACATGAGAACAGGGTCTGGGGGTGGAGCGGGCAGGAGGAACGGGAGGAAAGTGGCCAAGAGTCAGCATGTATATTACCAAATTCCCCAGGGTGAATATAATGTATTAATAAAAAATAAAATGTGTATATCAATATTTTAAAAGAGTATTTTCTGTGAGATGACAAGTTTTTTAGGGAATAAAAATAAAATCCAAAAAAAATAAAATAACATAAAATCCACTCCAAGTTTTAGATAGAGTGTGTTTTTGCTCCAGTTTGGAGCACACTGGAAAGTCCACATACAGTGCCTTAAATAGGAAAAGATTTTCTCTCCACTGGAGAATGGTCACTTCCTAGAAACGGCCCAGGTACAAGACAACGGCATCACACACTCAGGTTTTCTGTTTTTGCCACAACAGCCTTAGCTTCATCTTCACGTATAACTGCCTCGTGGTCAAAAGGCTCTGGACAACAGCAAACGAGGGGCAGTCCAGGAGCCCATGCCAGTCACGTCTGCTCCCTAAGAGATGAGGGTGTGACGGTGCCCAGGATGGCTCCCAACTCCTGGGCTCAAAAGATTCTCCTGTCTCAGTCTCCTGAGTACCTGGGACCACAGACACGTTACCACATCAGTTTCCCCTTTTATAAGAAAGACAAAAGCTTTCTTAAAAACCCTCATCAGACTTCCGACCTGCGCCCTACGACGTCAGACACATGGAGCACGTGGCTGCTCCTATAGTGAGGAGGGCCGCGGAGATCTTCAGGGCGTAGCCTCCAGAGAACAGGGTTCGGGGGGAGCCCAGCCCTGGCTCTGCTGCAGCCTCTGCTTCAGTGACTCCCTGAGATCATCTCAATACTTTTTGAGGCCTGGTATCTGATGTAAATTCACATTTCTTCAGCTTGGCGGAGGGCATGTCAATCTTCAGTTTGACAAAGATTACCTAAATACATTCTCAGTCTTG